CAACGATCTACTGGGATTTACATCGCAATATCAAAGTCAGTTTGACAGTGCTTTGCATAAAGTTAATCTTGCTTCTAATAGAGTCTGGGTAGCAGGGATCCTAAAGAAAGATGGGTCAGATCCAACATGGACAACCTTTGGGGAAACACATAAGCTAAAGTTTTAACAAAACAGCTTTGGCTTGGACCAATTTTGTGTGTTACAGATTAATGTCAACGAAGAATTACTCAGCTCTCTCAACAAAGGACCGTCCTCATTGTAGTAATAATGTTAAAATGGCCTATAGATGTGGATCAGGTAATCGTGAAGGAACTGCGAGATAAATCCTCTAGTAGCACAGATGTTATGTAATTCCCTGGTTACATAACCAATCTCCTAAAAAAGTATGAGCCACAGAAGAAGAAACCATCTAGAGCTCCTACTCCACCATCACTGCCACCCCCTGACACCGCTATCACCACCACCCCTAGTGGTTCTACCACATCTCTTATTGTTCCAAAGTCAACCACTTTTGAGCATTTTAATATTATTTTTTCCGTAAGATAGAGTGCTTAATTCTTTGTATATAATATCCCACTTTTGTTTTGAAATGCATATTGTGTGTGGGGATACTCTTTTGATTGTGAGGGCACATAAACACTTAGAGTTGTGAAGCTATTTTTTCTCCAATTGAGAATTGAACGAAAGAAGGTTGTGTGATGAAGAGGCAAATTTGGAGGCTTTAATGTCATCACTTAGGTTGTTACTTTGATTGATTTAGTGTTTGAGCACTCGTAATGAAAATTGAGTTTTTTGAATGTTGTGATGATTCATATGCTAGTATTAATTGTTGGTACTAACCGAAATCATGAGTTATTGTGCTTGATTGCTTATTGGCTTGGTTGTTGTTGACTTTGATTGCTTGTCTAAGTATCTAGTTAGTCTTAGACGTAATGATTGTGTTATGATTTACTTGAGGACAAGCAAAAATGTAAGTTTGGGAGAGTTGATAAATTAGCTTTTAGCTTATTTTTTCTTGTGTTTTGACAGAGTTTTATTGCCCCATTTAATTTTTTGTTGTGTTTTGATAGAGTTTTATGCCCCATTTATTAGAATAAGTTGACTAATTATGCTTTGAATGGTATACTTTCAGGTCTTGAAGTTGTGTGAGAGCTTAGAGGTTGAAAAGTATCAATTATCCGCAAAAAGGGATCAATTTCAAGCCAAAAGTGCTAAAAATTTGAAATATGTAGATGGAGACCTTGTGTAGCTACGCAACAAGAGGCCCTGAAAAGCTGAAAATTTGGGGAATCACTGAAATCAGCTACGCTCTTATGCGTAGCTACGTAGAGGAATAAGTTGTTGTACATAGCTAGACACAACTTCTTGCATAGTTGCGTAGGCATTCAAAGGGCAATTTTCCCACAACTTTTAGACGACTATAAATAGATTCTTAGCTGATTTTCTTAGGTCATCTTTCATTCTCTTGTACTCCATAAGAGCTTTTAGCTATTTTGGGAAGGATTGAAGGATCTTCATTATAGTATTTAAATTTTCTTATTCTTTTAGTCTTAATGATGTTTATCTTTTCATCTCAACTCTTACTTTCGATTTCTAGTATGAGCAGCTAAACTCCATAGTTGGGGTTGTAAACTCTTATGGCATTAATGTGAATAGGTCTTTGTTTATCTTGCTTATTATTAATTGGGTTGTGATTATCTACTTGTTCTCATGTTTTATTGTTAATTTGGTGGTTGCAAACATAGATTGAGCCCATTTTATCTATTTCTTACTTGGAAAAGGAGAAATTGGATAAAAAGGGCTCAATAGCAACTCAAGTAGTAAGATATTTATTACTTTTGCTTTCCTGATAGAATATAGTGTTATCAGACTCTAACCCTTTCCTTTTATTTTTTAAATTAAGCTAGCTCTAACCCTTTCCTTTTAACGAAAAACAAAATGGTTGTTGCTGCTTAGCACATATAGATTGGTAAATGTGAGATTGATATATGGGTCAAGTTTTCATGTTGATGACGACACTGTTGATTAGAAAATAGCTAAGTATAATTTGTTGGATAGTTTGATCAGTGGGAGACAAAGTGAAATCCCACAGTGGTGGACTTCTAAGCTATTTGAGGGCAGTGTTTTGGATAGCGTGCAGCGACAAATAGCGACGAGAGCCCGCTTCACTAAGGCGAGAGGCGCGCAGCGAAGCGCTCGCCTTTTTATGTGAAGCGACAATTTATACAAAAACATAAAATATTTTATATATGTATATAACTAAAAACTCAATAACAATAATATACTAATAAATATATCAATTCAAAAATTAAAAACTCAATAAATAGTCATAGTAGATTCATAAACTAAGGTCTAAAAGTCTAAAACAAGCAACATCTATTCTTCTTCAAGATTTTCAAATTCTAGAACTTCAAGAATGTTAGCATTATAGAAAAAAATTATCAAGTCAATATGCAATTAATTCTACTCTATAAGACTATAAGTCTATAATTGAAAAAACAGAGCCTAAAAAGAAAGAGCTACTGCCTCTGCTCTGCCTCTGCTGCTGGTCGAAAAACAGAGCCAAAAAGAAAATAAGAGGATAAGAAAGAGGAAGGGAAGAGCCTCTGTTATTTTGCTCGAAAAACAGACTTTCTGTTTCTGTTGTTCTCGACAAAAACAGAGCAAAAAAAAAATAGAAAGAAGAGAAGAAGGAGAAAAAAGAAAGAAGAAAGAAAGGAAACTCAGAGAAGCATACCTGGTCTTTCAGATGGCAGAAACTTGATGAAAAAGACGATAGCACTTGGCAGAAGCTTGAAGCTTTTAGATGAAGAAGACGATGGCACAATAATCGCGAGCCCTAATCGCGAACCCTTTTTCAGAAACTTTGCCCTAATCGCGACCTCTGTTGTTCGAAGTTGAAGAAGAAAGAAACTTCTGAGAGTCAAGCCCTAATCGCAACCCTTTTTCTTAAGTCTGCGCCCTTTTTCTTTTCTTTTTTTTTTAAAAAAGCGACGCTACAGTCGCCTCACGCTACACTGTTGCCTCTCACTACACAAGCAGAGGCGAGCGCTTTATGCAAATCGCAACGCAACAGATGAAAGAAGCGACACAACCTCGCATCGCCTCGCCTCACGCTATTAGCGCTGAGGCGAGCGCTATTTATAACATTGTTTGAGGGTATAAAATAAAGGCCCACCAAGTGTCCTTAAAAGTCAAATCCACCAAGTACAACCATGTGTCCCTTTCTATATGTATGTATATTATATTATCGGCAAAATGGCTTCCGGGCCACTTAAACTTGTACCCATTTTTCAGCCCGGTAGATAAACTTACAAGTTTTCCATTTGAACACTTGTATAGGAATGAGTACTTATAAACACCTTTGACCATTGACCATGCTTATGTGGCAACGACTTAAATGATGTGGCTTAAATACATGCAAACCACGATACAAACGCACGTGAATATAACAGTTTTGATTAAAAAAATATTAAAATCAGAAAAGAAAGCAAATTAAAAGGAAAAAGAAAAAGAAAAAATTGAAAAAGGTGAAAACTCTCGCCCACCCCCTGCGTCTCTCCTCCTAC